TATATATATATATATATATATATAAGGAAAAAGAGATGTCATATATATATAAAGAATTACTTCTTGGCTTTCTTATCCTTAGCAACTTTAGTCATTTCATCAGGATTGTCCGATGCATCCTTAGCGCGCTTTGCACGAATGCCAACTAATCGTGCGTCAGCTCGTGCTTTACGAAGGGTTATATATGCAGAGAATTTAGTTTCCTCCTCAGTGACAGGACGTGCCTTTGCTTTAGCAGGTGCTTGATGTCGGATAGGCATGGGATCTCCCTTGATTTGAACTGCAAGTTTCCTCTCCTCTTCGGTTGCATCTCCCTTCTTAGGCTAAAATTAAAAAATAAAATGATAATAAAAATAAAAAAAAAAAATAAATATATAATTCGAATAATAAGAACAAATTTGTCATAAACTACTCTAAACTATAATATATTTCCCTATTTTTAAATAATATAAAAAAAGGGAGGACACTTCTATAAATTAATAATAAAATAATTTGAAATTACATACCTTCTTTTCATTTACAGGAAATAGGATCAATTTAGCCTTATACTCCTTCAAGCGTTGAGCATTCGTTTGCAAAGACTCAATGGACTTGTTACGACGACGAGGATCAACTGCAATTCCGATTGTTCTAGCAAATCTCTTGTTCAAGCCACTGGCTCTCAGCTCAGCAAGCGTGAAACCTTTGCCAGCACGAACCTTGGTATGGTAGCGAAATGTCGGGCAATGCACAATAGGTCTCAGAAGATTTACAGGCCTAAAAGAAATTTAATTAATAGCATTTAACTGCAAAAATACAAAATAATTTTATCGTGCGCGCGCGCACGCACGCACATATAATATATAATATTTATAAACTATTAAATATAATAAACTGAACTAAACGAGTACAAAGCATATAACAGTCTAGCTTGGATCTTAAATTCCTAATATATAATTTCGCGTGAATTTATATACTAATATATGTAATCTTTCCAAATTGCGCACCGAATAATCGTCGGTCTTGAAATGCAATCTAATAAACTGTCGTGGTACTATCACGAATTAATTGATGCTCTTTTGGCATCTTATATTGATGTTAAATTATATTAAAACCTGATAATAAACTGAGATTGGATCTGGAAATAATAGCCATATTTAGTATAAAATTTATTTTGTAACTGTTTAAAGTTTTTTTCTGAGATAAGACTATTTCTGTAGCTTTAAAAGTATAATCTATAATTAGTATGAAAAAAACTGAACATATAGTTGCAAAATAAGCATTCTGCTGCACACAGCTAATATTAATTATCATAATACAATAGTTGCTTTCTATTTACACCTATTTCTCAGATAATTCTCATTTGTGACATTACAATTCAGTTGAATGTGCGTTCCTTTTGCATTCTAAGAAGTCAGATTCAACTGAGTTTTTATCTACAAACTGCACAAGATTAAGACTGCATGCTTTACTGAGTCTAGACTCTAGACTACTAGACTCACTTTAAGTGAGGTTACAAACCTGTGTTATTTGTTAATTTTACCAAAGTAAGCAAGTGACGTCATTAATCTGAGTATTTCATACTCAGCTTAATTTCATTTGTGTATAAATGGAAAACAACTATTATAATGAACATATCCAAGAGGAAGAGAATTTAAAAAAAGATAATTATTTAATTTGAGTAAATTTTTGTTATCATATAAAATCATTTTTTCTTTGTGTCCATGTAAATAACTTCTGGAAGTTAGTTAAAGTTTTGACAGAGTGTTCATAATACATATGAAAAATTTTCACAAGGTTATTAAATAAAAGAACAGAATATGTATTGAGATATTAATGAATACTCCATTTACAACTAGATATTTTGATTTTAGAAACTGTATTCATCCTATATCTTTTTCAGGAAAGAAATAAAAGTTATAATTTACAACAAAAATCTTTTTTTTTCATTCAAAATCAGGAATGAAAAGAAAATATGATAAACTCTTAAATATAAAAAACACCATTTATTAATACAAGAAGATATTGTTTATGTAAGAACAGAACTGATTAAAATTCACACTGAAAAAAATTCTGGATACTTATGCTCATGCAAATGTAATATGTATGATTGACAGTTGTATAATATAAAGGACTAATAAGAGTCAAATAAATAATTTGTTAAACTTTAAATAAAGAGATGAGCTACATTCTAATTATAAATTCTACTTTAATATGTCAACAAATTTTACATTATATAACGCACACATTACATGTTTTGGCTGTAAGATTCAGCCCTCTTCAAATACTCAAAAAATCTTACAAAACAAAAATCTATTTTATTATATTATAAACCGCACTATTGATATAAAATTAATGTAATATGTATGTACGTACCTAGGAGCAACAGCTCGTGCCTTTTTGATACGTTTTTGCTTACGACGGATCTTTCTTGCTGGTTGATTAAACCAAGTCTTTACATATCGTTGCCAATCCTTATGGAAATGGCCATTTGGGATCATATTATTTCCCTTACCCATAGTTGATGCTTAATATCTGCAACAGAATAAAAATTAAACATTTGCGTTATACCACGTGAAATTTGAAATACTTAAATAAGACATTTCGAAATTAAAACACTGTTTAATAACCAATTTAATTTGTATATGAAACAAGAGGTTAGTATCTCTAATGAGCATTACAGCAATTTAATTACACACATAAACAATCCATATTTAACACAAAATTATGTATAATGTGAAATAAATTGCTGAGAAAGAATTGCAACAGAACTTTATCGAAGAAAATAAAAGTTCACCAGCGACAGCTTGGCCCTAGATTCTAACCTATCCTTCGTGAAGAGTAAACAAAATTCAAATTGAAAACAATTATTTCAATATAAAAATTACACATAAAAAGCACAAAACAGTTAGAAATATAAAAAGTTGCACATTCCTATCGTTATGTATTACGTAGTATATAAACGATGGCAATACCTCATACAGATTCTAATTCTATCGCATTCGCTCACCAACTCACGGACACGAGACAAATCGGAAAAGGGACATGACACATGAGACCGGCGGAAGCGGAAGTTGCACTTCCGCGAATAGAAGTCTCTCTGTCGCGCAGGAACAGAATCTTTTACGCGTTTTTCAGAGATAATTAACAATATTAATAATATTCAAGAATAGCTAATATTCCATAATGACAAAATAATTGATACTTTCAATCCATAAATACTAATTTATCTACAGTTGTATAGAAAAATGGCAGCTCACGTAGCATGTGTGCTGGATCGCTGGATGGTGTTGGATGCGAGCGAGTGTCGTACCGTTTGTTTACACGGGAAATATTTGATTTTTAATGATGATGCAAAGATTACCTTATCCCCTCAAAATATCACGATGCAAGATACGAAGGTGTTTAAATAATTTTTTTCATCGATCGTTGCAACTGTCAACTACTGATACATCATTGGTAAATTTGTTTAACTGTTTATTTCGTTGATTTTATACAGAACCTTTGAACATAAGACTCAAAAAGTATGTTTAATTATTTTAGTCTGATTTTATTTTACTCCTACATTTGATAATGATAAAAATGTTTAATGTCATCTTGTAGCCATCTCATAGAAGTGCATTTTATTAGTAAAGTAGGATTAATGTTCAAAAACTGTTGTATTTTCTGCTTGGGATGTTATTAAAGATATTTATTTATTTTTTAGTTATTAAGGATATTTGACAAAGAAATACTTCTTTTCAGTCTTCAATATGTTCAACAGACATAAAGAAAGCGATAGAGAAACATTGGGGTGATAAAATTGATCCTTGGAAATTTAGTATTAATGAAGATGCCAAAAATAAATTTTATATTCTTTCTATGTTTCCGTATCCATCTGGTGCCTTGCACATGGGTCATGTTCGAGTTTATACAATAAGTGATACTGTAGCTCGATTTTATAGATTAAAAGGTAGGCCTGAAAGTAATTTACAATATTGATTTATACAAGATTTAAATAATAAGTTTTATAATGACATATATAAAAAATCATTTTTATCAATAAATTTAGGTAAAAATGTAATTCATCCAATGGGCTGGGATGCCTTTGGGTTACCAGCAGAAAATGCGGCTCTTGAAAAACAAATCAATCCTGATGTATGGACAACTGAAAATATAAAGACAATGCGTAAACAATTAAAGATGTTAAATTATTCTTTTGATTGGCATAGAGAATTTGCAACCTGTGATCCAGATTATTACAAATGGACTCAAGAACTATTTTTAAAGTTGTTTGATAAAGGTTTGATCTATCAAAAGGAAGCTTATGTTAATTGGGATCCTGTCGATCAGACTGTATTAGCCGAGGAACAAATAGATGTAAATCAAAGATCTTGGAGGTCTGGTGCACTTGTTGAAAAAAAGTTGTTAAAGCAATGGTTTATTAGAACAACAGCTTTTGCAAAGTAAGTTTGAAATATGTGTGTGTGTGTGTATATATATATATACATACAAGGTGTCCCGAAAGTTTCTTTCAATTACTTTTGTGTAGATAGAGCGGACTAAACTAAGTTGAAAAGTTCTCTACCACTTATCAAATTTTGCAATGGTTAACAAGATATTAATTTTTAAAGATAGGCGAATATATTGGTCTTTAATAATTTTTTTCTCAAATACTATCAACTTTACAGAAAAACTGGGACAAAAAAGCAAGGGACAAAAATTGTGTATCTTCTTCTCATAGAACTCTAAAAATTTTTTCAGAATTTTTTGTTAACTTTTTAGTACTGTATTTTCTTATTGGCAACTATTTTTACCAACATAAGAAATACAGTATTCAAAAATTCTGGAAAAATTCTGAAAAAATGTTTAGAATTTTATAAGAAGAAAATAAACAATTTTTATCTCTCGCTATTTTTCTATAAAGTTAATAGTATTTGAGAAAAAACCAATATTCGGCTATTTTTAAAAATTAATATCTCGTTAACCGGAAGGATCCCGTTTGCCTACATTCCCGATTGCACACACCATTTACATTGGCCGGTGCTTAGTAACTTTTCATTGCTTTACCAATGAGGTTATATTATTTTTAAATTAAGCCAATCAGTGAGCAATGTGTGCAATCGTGCATGTAGGCAATCGAAACCTTCCTATCTACAAAAGCGATTGGAAGAAATTCTCGGGACACCCTGTATTTATAGTGTTCTGAAAATTAATATTTTTAATTAACAAATTATGTTATAGATCATTGTTGGAAGGTTTAAATGATCCATCTTTAAAGGAATGGAAAGATGTTATAAAGTTGCAAAAACACTGGATAGGTGATTGCAATGGCATTAATATTGATTTTAAATTAGTATCCGAAATTCCAGAGTTTCCAGGAACATTAAACATATGGACTGACACACCAGAATTTGTAGAGTATGCAAAATTTGTTACTATATCCTCTCATAGTATATTAAATCGTAAAGAGCATACATATGAAATAGATGTTGGAATAAAAGGTTTAAACGCAAAAATAATAAATCCATTTTCCAATGAAGAGTTACCGATTTTTATCACTGACAAAGTTGTTTACCCATCATGGAGAGATGTTCGTTTGGGTATACCTTCAGCATCAATGGACGATTTAAAATTCTCAGAGTTGGTTGGAATACCATTTACCCGGCATTCGATACGTAGCTATGAACAGCAGCAGCAGAAGATAGCTGAAATATTGCAAAAAGCTAGAGAATGGAGAATAGGAGGATATCCAGTAAGCTCAAAATTACAGGATTGGTTAATCTCTAGACAAAGGCATTGGGGTACACCTATACCTGTTATTCATTGTACAAATTGTGGCGCTCAACCTGTACCTCATGATCAACTTCCTGTGACATTACCAAAGATAACATATTCAAGCTCAAATAAAAGGTTTTCGATTCAAGATATGAAGGATTGGATGCAGACGAAATGTCCCAAGTGTGGGGGAAATGCTACTAGGGAAGCTGATACAATGGACACGTTTGTAGATAGTAGTTGGTACTTTCTAAGATTTATAGATCCCAAAAATACAAAAGAGATATTTTCGCTAGAAAAAGTTTCGAAAATGTTTCCCGTAGATCTCTATATAGGTGGAAAAGAACACGGTATAATAGCAATTTCTTAAATTACTATACTTTGGCATTTTTATCACATTAAAGTATTCTTTATAAGTTTACATCTTTTAGCCGTGCTGCATTTGTACTTTGCCCGATTTATGAGTCACTTTCTGCACTCAGAAGGTCTTTTACCATGCCGAGAACCATTTAAACAGCTCCTCGTTCAAGGAGTAGTAATGGGTAAAACATATCAAGTTATAAGTACCGGCAAATATATACCAGAAAATAAGGTGTTGAAGGAAGAGAATCAGTATAAAACGAAATATGGAGAACTTGTCTCTATGCGCTGGGAAAAAATGTCAAAATCAAAGCACAATGGTGTTGATCCTCTCAATCTGTTGAATAAATATGGAATAGATACAACAAGATTATTAATACTAGCTGATGTTGCACCAACGTCCACTAGAAATTGGTCAGAAAATAGTAAGTTTCTTAGTCAATTATTTAAATGCTCTTATATTAGAACATAATATATTTATTCATCATTACAGCTGTTACAGGTATAGACAATTGGCAAAACCGTCTTTGGACTCTTGTCAAACAATTCAAAACTGAACGCGACAAAATGTCTCCGGAGGAATTTGAAAGCAAACCTACTAATTCTAAATACGCTAAAGAGGATGCATACATGTTTGACAGCCGAAATTTTTTTCTCAAAAACGTGACATTTAACATAGTAGAATCGCAGCAACTTAGTGTAGCAATATCTCGATTGCAAGGCCTTACAAATAGGTAAATAATTACATTAGTAACTCTATGCAGTGTAATTTTAATATTTGAATATATGTACATTGAATAAAATCTGTTATTATAGCTTACGAAAAGTTAGTATAGAGTGTTTACAAAAAAGTCGTGAATACGAGCGAGCATTAGCTGTTCAAATTATAATGCTTGCTCCATTTGCTCCACATTTTGCCTCTGAGTTATGGTCTATTTTCTGTTCTGCCAAGTATTTGATAGATAATACTGAAGTTGACTTAAATAAAAATGTATTTGAACAGAAATGGCCAGATATTGACATGGATTATAATCTTGTAATGAATGTTTATGTAAGTATCTTGGTATACATAATTCTATTATTAAAATATAAATACATGAAAAATGAAAGTGCTTACAAAATTAGATATATTTTTACTTTTCAAATTTTAATTCATCATATTTACATTATATAAACATGATAGGTAAACAAAAGACAATTTCTTAAAATGAAGATTCCTCGACGTGAATTGGACAAAATGGTAGCAGATACGGCGTTAGAATATGTGATTCTCGATCCGTATTATCAAAAATATTCGTACAATAAAAATGTTGTAGATGTCAACTTTAAAGCAGAGAAAAGCTATGATGCATCATTGTACATAACCATGGAAAAACAAAAAGAAGATTAAAGATAAACATTATTTTAATTTATACACACGAGATATTAATAGAAATTTATTATATATATTTATTATAAAGAGAGAAAACAAAGTTTTTCAGCTAAAAATCTATAATAGTTCAACTTGCTTACCCAATATCGTATTCGCCTTTATATCCATTATTTGGAATAGTTTTCAAGAATTTTATATAATCAGTGGGAAGATTGTTTTCTTCGGCCCCTTTTAATATCGTACCTCTGCATGAATTACGACAAATTTTTAGAGGTTAAAAATAAAAATAATTATGTTCAAATTATTGCAATTGCTTTTTAAATTGCATATGACATACAGGTATAATGGTGAAGGTCTCTTATCCTTTGGAAATTCTTCTGGTTTTATATATTCTTTTGGATTATTACACTGCTGGTACACTCGACAATTTAGAGTTCTACCATCAGGAGTTTCAACATTCACTGACATTGCGTGATATATATTATTTTGAATACCTTCTTGACAGTCTAATGTAGCTAAATTGCACTTGTCTAATTCCCAGACTACACCCCATACAACTGAATTTTCTGTTTCTACAATTGTGGCAGATGTTCCATGCCATCGATTAGAATATCTGTGAAAATCTAGCCTAAAATTCTGTAATATATATATATATATATTATATATTGTATATGTTAATGTATAAATGTAATAAAATTAATATTAAGATTTTCTAGTTTGTGTTTAAAGAAAAATGTAATTTGATAATTTACAGTTTGTATTTTGCATTATTACCTGTTTATATAATTTAAGATTTTTATATTTTATGAATAACATTCTAAAAAAAGATTAAACAGATATTTTCATAGATATTTTAAATATGGTAGTCTATATCGTTGTTCTGCCTTTTATAAAGTTTAATATTATATGATACATATAGCATATATAGAATAGAATTTTATTCACTTTACTTTATTGATCAATCAATGAATTAAAAAACTCGTCCTATTTATTACCTTTTTTCATATTTCCATACCTTAATTTAATCAAAGCCCTAATTTTATCTCCCTTCTTCTACATGTAGTACATATATACACAGGTATACTTGTTATGTTTTATTTTAAGTATATTAGTATTAAAATTATATTAAAAAAAATATATATAATAATTATTAATACACACATCCATATAAAGTTTGAAATAATCTGCATGAAATCAACCGGTAATTTGTATCACTTAACAAACTCGAAGATATGGAATAACTTTTTTATTGTATTCATTAGATATAATAAAACTACATATTAACTACACACTAACATCCAGTGTTCTAACTCGAACAGGCTTTTGTTCATTTTCTTAGAAAAAAAAAAGTTTAAAACACATCCTGATTTTCTTTTATTAATTACCTTTATATAACCGATGTCTTTCATTATTGCGGTCGGATTATGTAAATGTATCCTTTTAGCCAATAAATTACTCCCATAAGCGAAATATAGGAATGTATTTGCCATTTTTCAGACTGATCCAAACTGATCTTGCAAACTTTTCATAAACAAAGTAATAAAACGTTTCGCTATCTTCTTATTTGACACTACCGCATTACTGCAATTGTTCAAAACGAGTGTACGTTATATATAAAACACCATGTGTACAAAATGTATTGTGTATCTACGAAAGATAAGATATATCTTATATATGCACAGTGACAATTAAGTGTATTGTTAATATATAATAATCCCAAAGAAAGAGGACGCGCTCCTCGCCTCTCACGAGCGCCGTTTCGTTCTTCGCGGTGACACTGTCTGTTACTTAATCAACTTTTATCTGCTAATTAGTTATACCGGGTTAGGATTCACCGTGTCGGTAAACCCGGCGATTGATTTGACGCGCGTTTCTCAACTCAAACCGACCGACCGATCACTGAAGCGTTCACACTTCACAGTCGTTGAGTTGTTCGGTCGACAAGACAACACTTGGTACTTTTGGCAGCTGTCTCTTTCTGTCTCGGCAGATTCAGTCGTTTTTCCTTTTTTCTCTTTTTTTTTTTCGTTTTCCGATCGCGTACCATCGTGGCGACCACCACGGACTGCAGACACTTCTGATCACTTCGCGGCGCTTCGTAGAGGCAAAGGAATACTCGACGGCACGGGCCGCGTATTCACAGAACAATTCGACGGAACAATGCCACAGGAATAGCGCGGCGGTGTTTTTTCATAACCTAAGTCGTAAATCGTGTGGAGGTAAGACAGCTTGAAGCTTGGATACACGTACGCATAATTACGCAGACGCCGCGTCGCGTTCACCGTTGTTTGTCACCCCGTCTGTCTTCCCTGGAACGCTTTGATAACGCGTTCTCCGTGTCAATCGCCTCCTGCGTTTCTTTGTCCCTGTATTGCTTACTGCTTCTTCATAAGATTCCTGTTTGGATTTCTGACCTGAAACTATGAAGGGTCATAGCATGCGACAAAGAAAGATCAAGGATCCAGTGATAATCTCCTCGAGAAGTAGCGGCTTAGCTTCTTCGAGATTTACAATTGTTATAGTATCACATTAATTTAAAGTAAATACTCTCAAATAGGTTCCTTTTGTATAATTTGTAATAGCCTTAAACCTTCTAAAACAGATCAAGTAAGTTCCTTGATTAGATTAGTCAACACATGAAAAATCATATGTGGCACGGATGGAATCAAACTTGGATCTATAGATTATGAGTCTATGAATCGAGTGAGGAATCATCCGATGCATCGTTTCATTACTGTTGTTTTTCCAAATGACAAGGTCTTTTATGATATGAAAAATTATTACAGAGTTCCTAAGGAATAAAGAAAGAAAGAAAAAGAGAGAAATATATGCATTCCTGATTATTATTTTTTTTATTTATTTTTTTGTTGGAATGAATGTTTCAAGGAAAGCCTGGATTGCACAATATTATGATAAAGCATATGATAATATTTTTATAATAATTTAAATATATAAATATCTTAATTTGTTTTGTTGTAGGCAAATATTTTTAGAACTATATGTTTTCAGAATGTTTGGATATATATATTGTGGAAAATTGTACAATTATTTTATATAAAAATAATTTATGGCATTCTCTCTCTCTCTCTCTCTCTCTCTCTCTCATTGGAACTATTTTCATTGAAAGGAAGAATAAATTACAATTTTGTTGATGTATCGATTGTCATTATATTACGCATTTAAAAAGTATAATATTTAACCTTTCATTAAATATTTTTATGTTACAGAAATGCCGCCTACTAAGAAAGGAGACTTAGATAAGCTAGCATGGGCATGGACAGAATCCATTGATCCAGATGAAATTGAGAAAATACATTTAGAAACTGCGTATAGGATTGGATTAAAGAGTTGTAAAAATTGCAAGTAAGTTGAAAATTATTTTGGAGGAATAAAAGATTTGTACACATTACTATACTCATATTGCAAAGTTTACCTTGTGGGAAAGATAAAGGGGTAGATAACACTAGCTCAATGTAAAACTTTTATTTCACATTATCTGTTTCAGACGTAATTGCACCTATAATCCCCAATGTCTGACAGGTTTAGGAGAAGACAAGTATATGAAATCCCAGCCGGCTGAGGTAGTGTCCTTAGAAAGTTCCTTATCGGAATTACGTGACCCAACCCAATATGTTGGTTTAAAGAATCTAGGTGCTACTTGCTATGTCAATAGCTTAATTCAAATGTGGTTTCACAATGAAGACATGAGGTATGTATGCAATATATATTAATAAAAACTTTTCACATGTATGTTGCACATTTTATCTTGATAAATTTAATGCCAACAGGAGAATAATATACAAATGGGATATTACGGAAGATCCAGAGGAACAGGAGGCGTTGTGTCAGTCTAAAAAAGCAGGAGTGCCCTACCATCCAGTAACCGCGGTTGGCCAATTGCAGTACATTTTTGCAATGATGCAATTTGGTAATCGGAGCCTTCTTGATCCAATCAATCTCGCTATTGCGTTATCCTTGGATACCAGAACGCAGCAAGATGCTCAAGAATTCTCCAAGCTGCTATTGTGCCATATCGAAGGAAAACTACAGCAAAACTCAGAACTGAAGCAGATGCTGCAGAGGCTGACTCAGGGAAAATACAGCTATATCAATCGGTGGGTTTTCTGAAGTGGAACAATGAGAATTTTCCTAAACGATGATGGTGCTGATGATCTTGACGATGACAACATGGTAGGACACGTTGCTCGCTACGATGACTGGCGCGACCAACTGATCCGATGAAGAGCGAAATGACTTTTTAGTGGATAATTAGAATTTTGTGTTTGATGCAGTTGCTCCATGTGCAGCACTGAGTACCCAACGTCCACCACGTTCTATGAGTTGGATCTACAGCTGGCGGCAACTTTGAAAGAGGCGATCGAAAATTATTTATCAGAAGAACAACTGACAGGAGCGAATCAATACCATTGTGTTACTTGCAATGATAAAAAGGACGCCAGGCGATTCATACGACTTGAGTCTCTCCCAGAGACTTTAAATATTCAACTAATGCGCTTTGTATTTCATAGGTGAGCTTTACATTTTATGACAGTAACAAGTTTGATTTGTCCGAAATAATAGCGTTGTAATTTATGACAGAGATTCCGGACAGAAAAGGAAGTTGAATTCATATATTCAGTTTCCCGAAGAGCTTGATATGTCGGAATATATTGGGTGTCAGCCTCAAACTCATCTGTACAGTCTTGTCGCTGTATTGAGTCACAAAGGTCCGTCTGCACATTCTGGGCATTACATTGCGAATATATGTAATTCAAGTGGGGAGTGGTATCAATTTAGCGACGATAAAGTTGAAAAAATGCAGAATAAACGAATTGAGGATAGCGTAAATGGTAATTTCTTCTTTATCAAATACTTTGTATTTAATAAAAAAGAAAGAAATGTGTGACTTTTCACGCGAGAAAGCAGGAAGTAAGTTCTCTTTTTTTATATATATAGATAAATCAATGAAACGTGGCCGTGTTCCAAAAGGATTTTTGTCATCCAACACAGCTTATATGTTGGTTTATAAGAAGTTAACTGCAGATGGGCGAATAAATGCTGCGAAGAAAGTAAAATTGAAAAAACTTGATGTGGAAACAAATGCCTCCAATGATACTGTTAACTGCGAGAAACTTACAGTCACAGAAAAATCGGATACCGCGGACGAATCGAAACAGAAAGCTGATACTGAAGACGTACCATTAATTCAAGAAGGAGACTCTGAAAAAATATCGAAATTAGATTTAGAGAATGTAATAGAAATAGATGAATCTACTATATCTGAAAAGACTGATGCACCTATTACAGGTGAAAATAAAACTACAGAAATTGTCGCTAGCACAAATGGATGTAAAGACACACATGATTCTACCTTAGAACAATTACAGAATAAGGTTCACCATCTAAAAGAGTCAATGGTGAAAGTCGTTAAGCTAGATTATAAACGTTTGAATGGTGACGCTCATAGAGCTATGAGTTGCGGTGAACGTGATTTTTATGAAGAGGTAATTCTTTAGATACATATTCTTTTTAGTTGTTTACTAAATTTTGATTAATTAACATTTTAATTGAATGTATTTTTCTTTTTACAGATGGAATTTGAGAATTGGCAAGTAAGCAGCACGATGCGTGAACTTGTTAGACAAGAAAATGTTAAACACGAATTGAGTTTGTTAGCTGCACAGCAAGAAAAAGTAAGGAAATATCGACTGTATTACGTAAAAACGACAAAATTATTGTACTTTTTTTTTATATTCGTTGCTACATAATTTCTTCCTTTTTTAGCAAAAAGAAATTGAAGATCAGAATTCCAAACGACAACTCGTAATAGATATGTATAATATAATCCATTCAACAGTATCTTGGAGTAATTATTATTGGATATCAACCGACTGGCTATTGAAATGGTTGACCGGATATTCTTCTGGAATCGATATCCGTCCGATCGACAATTCCAATTTAATGTGCTCGCATTGTCGACTTGATCCATTGAAAGTTGGTCGTGTAAAATGCGTGCCGGAATTAGCAGCTCAAATGCTTTACGATAAATATCTAGGAGGTCCACGGTTAGACCAGACATTTTTATGCGAAATTTGCGTAAAACGACGTTGCAAGTTATTACGTTTCAAGACAGCACTTGAACGAGATCACAAAGAAGTTGGCGAGTTAATTCGCACATTTAAAGAACCGTAAGCTACTTGTTATTTTTTGAAGTTTTTCATAATAAAAAAGTGAGGTAGTAATTTATAATAATAATAACTACATGATATATGTTTCTGTTGTTTTAGTGTTGAAACGAGCTATATAATTGGTACCGATTCACTGCGATCATGGCGAAGATTAGCTATGGAAACGTTTCAAGAGGATATAGAACAAAAGGAGGACGATTGTCAGGATACTCTACAGGAGGAGAATAAGAATATGGATAAAGATGGCAACGATTGTCCAAAGGAAGTAGAAGAAAACAAGGAGAATGAGGTTATTATAAACTTCAATGAAGACTTACTCTGCGAACACAAGTCTCTTAAAACGGCAGATTCCAGTAGAAAAGTGATACCTCAAGAGGCTTGGTTGATTCTTAAAAAATATTTTCCGGATTCGAAGGAATATCTCGTTGGATCGTCATCCTGTTCAATC